ACTTGGGAGCGTGTCCGAAATGTGATTTGGAGGTCAGTGATAGAATTAGGATTGAATTGGCGAAATTAGAAATTTGGCGTTTCTCGGTCGGCAGTGAAAATTTGATATTGGAGTCGGAATGAAATTCTAGAAATTTGAGTAAGTTCGTAGTGTCATTTTTGATATATGTGCAAAATTTTAGGTTATTCGAACGAGTTTTGATAGGTTTCAGCATCGTATGCGCAATTTGAAAGTTTAGAAGTCCATAGGCTTGAATCTGAGGGTGATTTGGTTTTTTGATATTGTTTGGAGTGATTAAAAGGCTCGACTATGTTTAAATGATGTTATGGAATGTGTTGGCATGTTTGCTTGAGATCCCGAGGGCCTCGGGTGAGTTTCGGGTGGTTAACGGACCAATTCTTGGTTTTGGAAGTTGGCAGATTTTTTGGTATTTTGTTGTAGAGAATTTTGTCATCGCGTTCGCGAGAGGGCTCTTGCGTTCGTGAAGGGATGTTGAGAGGGGCAGCTAGGGTTGTTCTTCGTGTTCGTGATTTAGTTCTCGCGTTCACGAAGGTTCATGAGTTTAAGGCCACGCGTTCGCTACCAAGGCATCTTTTCGCGTAGAGTCAACGGTCATTTGGAGCTTCAGCAAATTAAGACTACGCGTTCGCGAGGTGTGCTCTGTGTTTGCGTTGGGTCAAGCAGAGTGGTCTTTGCGTTCGCGAGTGGGTCCTTGCATTCGCGAAGAAGGGACTTTCGGCCTAAGGCAGCTTGTGCTTCGCGAACACGACGGCATTACCGCGTTCGCGAAGAGAAAGACATCTAGGCAGAATGTTTAAGTTCAAAAACGAGGGTTTGAGTCCAAAATTCCAAAATTCAATAGAGAGCTCGGGAGAAGGCAATTTTGGAGGGGATTTTCAGAGGAATGATTGGGGTAAGTGGTCTTCACTCAAATTTGGTTAAATTCCATGATTGTGTCTTGATTTTTATTACTTAACTTAGGAATTTGGGGTGAAAATTAGGGATAATGGAAGAAAATTTGAAGAGTGGATTTTAGGGATTTGTATTACCATTTGACGTTGGATTTTGGTGAATTTGATATGGGTAGACTCAAGAGAAAACGGGCTTTCTAGTTTTGTGATTTATATCGGATTCCGAGATGTGGGCTCGGGGGTCGGGTTTGAGCCAAATTCGGGATTTTTTGTCTAATTTGATAATTTTCATATGGGGTTCATTCCTTTAGCATATATTGATGATAATATACTGATTTTGGTTAGATTCGGAGCATTTGGAGGCCGAATTGAGAGGCAAAGGCATAGCCGGTTAGAGTTTTGACTTGGTTCGAGGTAAGTAACACTTCCAAACTTGGTTCTGAGGGTTCGAAACCCCAAATGATGTGCTATGTGATTAATATTGAGGGGATTCAAATGCCAAGTGACGGACGTGTGGGCGTGCACCATGAAAAATTTGTCCTGTTTTATTCCATGGCACCGCTTAGTGACTCTTTCTTGTTGATATCTGTGTTGTGATTATATGATTAAGGAAATGAACTGTAAATCATGCTAATTATCATGTTAGGGCTTCACGCCAATACTGTTGAGACCTGAGTGGTCGTTTCTTGCTATCATCTTATTAGTTTCATTGATATTCGGTACTCAATCTTGTTCATGCATATCATATCATGTCTCAGTCTCGGTTTTTGTTATTTTGGAACATCATATCATTGTTTTGGGCTAGTTTCATGGCATTTTGAGCCCATGTGTCAGAGACTGGAGAGTGATGACCAAGTAAGGCCGAGAGCCTGAATATAAGTGACAGCTATGGGATCGAGCTGCACGCCACAACAGATTATTGATTATGCCTTTGTTGGCTTGTGATAGCGCTTGGGCTGAAAGGTAGTGAGCGCAGATGACATTTTGAGGGATGGATTTCCCTGGACATGGATTTGTCCGAAGTATTGATATCTGTAGATGGATTTCTCTTCGAGGTTGGATTACCCTTGTTTTCTCGGTACCGAGTGACTTATAGTCAGTGATGAGCATGTCCCGGGATGGATTTTCCTGGGTTGGATGGCCATACGCGGTACCGAGTGGTTGAGTGTGTTCATATATATGTATATACATGGAGATGGATTTCTCCTCAAGGTTGGATTACCTTGTTTCCTCGGTACTGGTTGACTTTCAGTCAATGTTGTATATGTTGCGAGATGGATTTTCATGGACCAGAAGGCCATATGTAGTACCGAGCGATTGAGCACTTGAGAGTGGAAGCATATGGTGCATTTTTGGCATTGACATGTAGAGTTTTGCTGAGCTTTATAATTCACATTGTTCGAATTGGTATTTACTTTATTGTTGAGTTGGATAATTGAATTGCCAGCATGCCTACTTTTCTGTTTAGTTTAATTGTGTTATAATTGCTAAAGTTTAGTTCGTCACTACCTAACAATCCATAGGTTGGACTTGTTACTTACTGAATTGGTGTACCCACGTTACCCCTACACCTTGTGTGCAAATCCAGGTATCTCAGGCCACGGTAGTGGTTGTTCACTATCCAGTCGCGGATTCTCATCGGAGATAGCGAGGTAGTTGCCTAGCGATTGCAGTTTCGCCTTTCTCCTTCTTTATCTTCCTTCTAGTATACTTCGGCTACTTTCAGATTATTTTGGGTCTTATTACGTTTCGGAACAATTATAGTATTGCTCATGACTTAGTGACACCTGAGGTCGGGCTTTTATTTCTGCAATTTGGTTTTGACTTTATATCTTTTATTCATTTGAAAAAGGTTATTATTTAAATGTTAATGAAATGTTGAACTACTTTGGGAATGTGTCGGTTGGCCTAGTTCCATGATAGGCACCATCACGACTAGGTTGGTCTTGAGATCGTGATAAGTTGGTATCAGAGCCTAGGTTACATAGGTCTCACGAGTCGTGAGCAGGTTTAGTAGAGTCTCGCGGATCGGTACGGAGATGTCTGTACTTATCTTTGAGAGGCTGAACCTTTAGGAAATCCCACATTCTTGAATTTTTATCGTGAGACATTGATTTAGCTTGAAATGTAACTCTTTAAATTCCTTCCACGCATTCGTGTGCGCACATGAGCGCTCGGTCAGCTGTGCATCGACGACTTATGATTCCCTAAACGAGGGGCGAGATGTGATTTTTGTATGTTGATGTTGGGCCAGTCTGGAGGACTTGAGGCCGGGCTTTACCTGTAGCTTCAGCACCGAGGGGTTGATTGTGTGAGCACGTGCTTTTGGATTTATGTGTTCGGTATTGTCCCTATTAGTGGAAGCGATGGCTGGATGGCTACGTGGTGAGTATGATGTGACTGCGAGATGTGTTCATATGATTTGAATGTAATGAGAAGGGTTTGCTTGAGGATAGAAGGAACTATTTGGTGCTTGATTTCCATCTTATGTATAGCCCCGAGTTAGGGGTGTGTTGAAGGATCTTTTCATGTTGTTTAGTTGGGGAGTGGGGTAGATTTTATGTTATGATATGAGTTCAGACTTAGGAAGATTAAGTGATTACGTGATGTTTATGACGGTGGAAAGGTATAAAGAGAAGTTAGTTTGAGGCAGAGTAGGCGGGTTATCTCTTGCAGAGTGTTCTGAAGTTAGTTTGAGATGTTTATGTTGTTTTTTGGAGGTCCTCTTTTACCAATGAATTATATGTGCTGCAGTTTGAGTTTGGATCGCGTATAGGAGTTGTCTTAACTGCTACGTGGTGAATGTGAGATTTTCAGATGATTTGAAATACTAGATGGTTTGTGTTGCACAACCTTATGAAGTATTTAGTTAAATCTCACCATTATATTTTGGTAGTAATAGAGTATGGGCATTGTGAGTTTTTTTGTGTTTTGACCTATGACTTTGAGCTAAGTGGGGAAGTCTGCTATTGATAAGTTGATTGCGCGGCTAAATGTCGTATCAATTTCAGTTTGAGGCATACTAGCAAATCAGTTATGGCTTATAGGGGTTGAGATCGAGGATGACTCGAGTAAAGGAAATTTTGGATAAGGGTTGTGTTATGCTTTATGGGTATATGAGAAACATTGGATGAATTAGTTGTTGTTGTAACAGATGTAACGGGTATGGAGTAGGATACCACTCGACTTCTTAGAAGGATGGGTTACTTCCTTATGTGTTGTCGTACTAATGGGGCACAGGTCATTCGGTTTGTTTGATTAGTTTAATTGAAACATGAGTAGAGTGGATAACTCGAAAGAATGGTTTTAATGGATTCAAGAATTATAAGTAATAATTGGAGATCATTAGGATGTGTAGTTGGCTAGAAACTAAGGTTTACATTAGAGGGTGTCAAGACTTATGGCATTTCTATATCATTATGAATTCTACACATCAGTATCAGGAAGGTGAAATTTAAAAGTAGCCAAAGTATACCAGAAGGAAGATAAAGAAGGAGAAAGCAGTACTAGAAATTAGACCTATGGGGACGGTTCCAAAACCGTTGCGGCAGGTATTAAATCCGTTGCCGTAGAGGTATTGCGACGGTTTTGCAGCTGCTCCAACAGGTATCATCACAATAGAGCTATGGAGACGGTTCAGTGTAACGGTTTGCCAACAGGTATCATCACAATAGAGCTATGGAGACGGTTCAGTGTAACGGTTTCATAACTGATGCATACGATGGTCTATTGCAACGGTTACTCTATGAATGATATTGCGACGATTCTTTACTCTATAGAACGGTTAAAAATCGTTGCAATAGAGTTCATTATCAACTGCTGTTCAAGCTATTGCTACAGATATTTTATAATATTGTAGCGGTTACTTAATGCTAATGCGACGATTACGTTATACTATTGCAACGGTCACTTTTGGCTTATGTGATTGGGGCTCATGCTATTGCAACAGTTATAATGATATATTGCGACGGTTATTTTCTGGGTTACTGCAACGCCTATCATATCTCTATTGCAACAGTTATACAAACCAACAATGTAACATACCTTGAAATATATATAATTTACGAAAAAAATTATTTTTAAACAAAATCAGAATCCATAATAGGTGTAATATCCATAAAAGCAAAACATTTAACAATATCTGCCAGTGAATTAAAACACATAAGTTTCCAAAGTGTACAAAAATAAAATATTTCTAGTTTCATCATGAATCAACCTAATACTCCTAAGTAAGATCTTCATCACTTTGGTCGCCTACTTCAAGTTCTCCACCTACAAATAATCAAAAAACAAACAATTTAGCAAAAGTTCTATAAAAGGATTTCATTTAAAGATATGTATATTAATGTCATGACACATGGTAAGATTAAACAAATTGACAAATACACTAGGCCAAACCCTCTATCTTGGCGCCAAAATTCATATGGACACCTCAACTTAGCTATGTTTCATTTAAACACTCTAACTATGCTTCAACTGTTCCACTTAAACACAATTTTGACAACTCTAAGCAAGGCAAGTGCGTGAATGCCACTTGCCACTGAAATGAAAATTAACACCACTAATAAAAAGACAAGTTAGCAAAAGAAAAAAACGACAATGGAAGAAGAATCATTTCTTTTTTCTATTTTCTTGTTTTCTTTCTCTTTTACAATTTTATTGCTTAAGCCATCTATCACATTATCAGGCATTTTCATGGCCCTGCTGCAAAAGTCCATCACTGATAGCCAGACTCATTTCTCACTTCTCCTCAAGAATTCCCCCACCTAAACATGTGGAATAAAAACCAGATATGAATTGAAATTCAAGAACAAAATTGTTCATAGAAACTCCAATAACCACAAACTATCTCTGGGTCAAAATCAACCAACCCACATCTATGAAATTCAAGAACAAATCAAGTGGGAATGAAAACACAATAAGATAACCTCCAAATTCTTCAATTCGAAATTTAAAGTTTCGAACTCGAGTGGGTGTTTATAGAGCTTTTAGCGCCAAGTTAGAGGGGGCGCATATGGGTTTGGCCAATACACAATCTCATACTTACCAACAACAACATACCCAGTATACCCATTATAAAAATATGATAACTCCTATAAAACCCTTCACTAGTTCTGATACACTTCAGCCATTGAAGAGTCCGAAGAGACTAGCCATGGCGTGACTCAATTCAATGCTCAAATGCAGTAAAAACTAAAAACCAATGCAGTAAAAACTAAAAACCAAGAATTTAGTACATACTATTTCCATGGAACTCAATATCCAATTTTACTTTCTTTGTTTCCTACTATGTTTTATTCCTCTGCTACAAGCTCAAAATTTACAAACTTACATAGTACAATTACATCCCTATGCAACAACAAGAACCCCTTTTAGTTCTAAGCTTCAATGGCACCTTTCATTTCTTGAAAAATTCGTTTCCTCAAATCAATGTGAATGAGAAGAAATTTGGAAGATGTAACATTTGCTAAAGATCATTGCTGTCATTTTAATGGATCATTAGCAGAAAAGCTTATTTTGGAGCATTAGACATTTGACAATAGCATTTTTTTGTTAAGAAACTGAGTAAATGAGAATTTATAGTTTTGATTATTGAAGGCGCCTAAGCCATTTTTCTGTTATCCTTCCAAATTCGAGCAGCATGCATTGTTTAAATATATTATACATAATTCATGATTCCTTAATTCAGAATAAAGGTGATCACTTTGTCTTTAATCCAGAATAAATATTTTTGGTACACTATTTAGAATTAAGTCAACTCAGCTAATGTGTAGCAACTAGTATAAGCCAAACATTGCTATCATTTCCAACATGGATCAGTAAGAAGGAAGAAGCATTTAATCAAGAAAATGATAGATCAAGCAGTTTCTACGACAAAAAATACATGAACAAGAAGCAGATTCTTTTACAAAAGATACATGAACGAAAGTCAACACAGGCAGAAACAATTGGTTCAGCACAAAAAACTAATGGGAGCATTTAAACCTCCAGAAAGCATATAGAAACAGTTATTTGGATACACCATATACGCAAACATTGTGGTTTTGTTCAACCATAGCATACACTTCATCAATCAACACTGCCCAATATTATCAAAATTCTTGGCATGATGAGTGACAACCACAATGGGACCTTTAGCTTTCTGGAATCATTTGAAGAAGTAATAGAAGCTGGAGCAAACAATGCTTACTTTTGGGCAGACATGAGAAGCTGGGGAAAAAGCAGGAGAGCTACTCGAGAATAAAGCTGCCCAAAAATTCGCAAGCATTTCGGCGCTTTTAGGACGTTTAGAAAGAAAAAGAAAAAGAAGAAGAAGAAGAAGAATCAATAGCAATCTAGACTCCAATATGGAAAACTCAAACCACAGTAAAATTCAATACATATATTAACAAATATCAGCAGCTCTACAGTTGCAAATATATAAATTTTAGCCTGGGAATAAAGTGATGCTAACCTTGATTGTTGCTACCTGTAGATGGTCGACGGATCAGTTGTTAATAGCTTGTGGTGCAGAGGTAGCTTCTCCTAGAGACGAAACAGACAATGTTGCTAGTATGTTTGGATTAATTAATCCTGCATGCTGAAGTTGAGCAATTACATCTGCAGTAATTTCTTGTCGCATAGTTCTCTTTTGTTCCTCCATCTTTCGAATCCTTTCTTGCATTTCTTGCACTGTATCATTTGTGGCATTTGAAGTCGGCACGAAATGACCCACTTTTCCTTTCAAAGTAGTCTTTATAACCCCTCATCCATATAATCTTAAACGTCCTGGATGTTCAGGACCCATGACAGATGAAAATGCATCAACAGACTGACTGCCATCTACACTTTGTTGTGTTTCAATTTTTTTCATTTCAGCCTAACAAAGCAAATTCAACAAAAGAATTAAAGTAAATAAAAAATAAGGAAGAAGAATAAATAAAATGATTTCATCTAAACTTGCATATAGAAAAATATTCATACAATTTTACTAGTTGTATTTTCATCTGAGTCCTTGTATACACGCCCAGGTTTTCTTGCTCTTGTGGCCACAAATATCTCCTTAAGTGATACAGGTTCCTTTGTTTTTTCCTAGTCGCACGAAAATGGATATAAGAGATATTTAAAAAATATAATATATATAATAATAAATAATAGTACACACCAATTCATTACGGATTACAACAAAACTTGTTTTGCCAGCAGTGTATGGATCCGTCAACTTTTTTCGATTCTCCTTGTGGATTTCGGATGATCTCTGCAAATAAAATGAATCAATACAATACAATAAACAAAAATAGAACAACATTATTTGCAACAACTTATGACCATTGAAAGAAAATCATGATATTAGTTTCCCACATTTCTTAAGATAACAGATTGAAACAAAGGAGTAGCTGAGATGCACAGATATGCACTGGCAACTATATCAGAAGAACCATGAGATGCACAGATGCACAGAACCATGAGATGCACAGATGCACAGAACCATGAGATGCACTTCAAAGGCCCTTAAATCATGCCAGAAGAACCATGAGATGCACAGATGCACAGAACCATGAGATGCACTTCAAAGGCCCTTAAATCATGCCAGAAGAACCATGAGATGCACAAATATGCACTAGCAACTATATCAGATGAACCATGAGATGCACAGATGCACAGAACCATGAGATGCACTATAAAGGCCCTTAAATCATGTCAGAAGAATCATGAAATGCAGAGATATACAACTAGCAAAGGCTGATATTGCCAGCGGTGACAGAGGAAATGGGGCAGTCCTGATAGCAATTGGCAATCAAGCTTTGCATATTTGCATTTCATATGTTCCCATCTGTGGCTGTCTCACATGGCTTCATTTCTTTCTCTCTGTGTTGGTATAACAGAGTACCAACTATTTACGAGACTTGTACCAATAAAACTAGAAGACATCCTTTTATAAGTAAAGATTCAGGATGCCTAGAGACCCTTGCCTGTGACTACTCTTCGTTGCCATGAAAGGCATTAGCATTCTTCCCTGCATCTCAAAAAGGAAGAATAGAGGGGGAATGTAGGCTCTGCAAATTGATTTTCTTGGTTTCTAAGCTAGCAAAGAATGAAGGAGAGCAATTGACAACCACAATATTTGCAACAGGAGCATTGAAGATGTATCCACGTTCACAATCAATTACTTAAGACTCCACAAAATCCCCACAGTTTCCCAAGTTGAAGGTCGTTGCAGATATCTTGAACATATCAGAATTAGAGTGGAATCTAATGGAGAAACCTAGAAGCTAATTGAATTCTCCATTTTAAGAGTTTCCCCACCAGTTAGAATTTGATATCTGACATGCTCAAAAAGTAGAATGCACTAGCAACTATATCAGAAGAACGATGAGATGCACAGATGCACAGAACCATGAGATGCACTTCAAAGGCCCTTAAATCATGCCAGAAGAACCATGAGATGCCCAGATATGCACTAGCAACTATATCAGAAGAACCATGAGATGCACTTCAAAGGCCCTTAAATCATGCCAGAAGAACCATGAGATGCCCAGATATGCACTAGCAACTATATCAGAAGAACCATGAGATGCACTTCAAAGGCCCTTAAATCATATCAGAACTCTAACTTTACCTGTGGTTTATCAGAACTCCAATATTTCAGGAGCTCTTTAAACTGATATTCTGTTATATAATCGGGCCTTTTTGTCATTCGAACTTCATCATTTTGATAGGCATCATAATAATATTTCTTCAGTTGATTTTTATGCCTTCTCCAAGCACTTCCAATTGAAAACAAAGTCCATGTTTTTGCAGCATCAGGAATATCATACTTCAACTACAATTTGATTTCATTTGATTAGCAGAAATTGTAACATACTTTTAACAAATAACTGAACATTTGGATCGGAACTTTAAACCTTAGTATATGTCCATAAATCGTCTTTTGTGTCCATTTTCCTCCAATCCATTATATCCCGGGCAAAGAGTTGCAGTCCTTGCCAGTGTACCGAGGAAGCTACCAAACTCTCTTACATCTTCTTTAGTAGGACCAATGGGCTGATTCAAATTGTTAAGCGTGATCACCTTACGCGTCTTTCGGCCATGGACACTACACATTTGTGTCCTGCCTCTTTTTTTATTTGGAGTTACAGGACCAGAAGCTACAACAAATTACAAAAAATCAGAGGTGATGGATGAATTCAGTAAGATTCTAAGTTATGTAGACTTACCTTGTTCTTCAGATCGTTCATTAGCTGTAGGAGTGGTAGAATCTATTTGCATCTGCTTATCTACAATGTGCCCCTCTACAAATTGCTCCTCTACATGTCGTTTATTTGCTTCAGATCGTTCTCCTATTATCGGTTGTTCTTCAATTAGTTTTATCAGATGATCTTTCTCTGACCGTATAGCTTGAACGGTTTCTTTTGTTGTCAATGATATTCTCTTTTTTTTGCCAAACATGATAAACTTCCAGCTTGAACATATGATGAGTTTTTTCCTTTTTTATTTTTTCTTGAAGACCCTTCTTGACCCATGACATCTAAATTTGTGTAAGTTTAAGAAAATCAAAGCTAATCAGGTTAGACAATGGAACACAACAAAGAAAAAAAAGAAGAAAAGGCATGAAAGAGAAATTTTGTGCCACTTACTTGAAAGAGAAACTTTATGCAAATTACTTGAATCTACAATCAGTAACAGTTGCGGGTATAAAACCTGTAAAATTGAAGCAATTCAATATAGAGCTGTAAGGAAAAAACAATTGCAAAAAGTTAAAGCATACAAACAAGAAAAACAATCACATAATATTTCTAAAAAATGGCATTATTACTCACTAAAAAACAATGACGACTATATATTTAAAGAAATTCAAAAGATCATTTATCAATCATCTGCCTCCATCTAATCCCAATCAATATCATTATACTCATCCTCCTCTTCCAATGTTTCCATAGTTGTATCTTGTGATTGAGAAGGCATATCAATGATATAGCAGGTATATCTTCTCTCGACCATCTGGCATCCACGTCGAGTAATATATTTGATGAACCGGTATCATCATTAGGCTCTCTCCGAATCGTTTCTCCAATATTAGGACAATTCTCTTCTTCCAAATCATACAAATCAATAGGGACTTTATTTCTTGCATAATAAACATCTTTCTCAATTGGATCCTCCACATAAAAAACTTGATGTACTTGAGATGCTAGTACAAAAGGGTCATCCATGCTGCATTTTTTGTTGAAGTACACCGGCATTAATCCATATCCATCAATTTCATTATGAAACCAATAACATCTAAATAGTACAACACTAAAACACTAAAACAGTCCCAATAATCAATTTCAATTATATCCTGAATATCTCCATAGTAGATAACCGTTCCATCGATGGGATTTTAGTTTCTAGCACTAGCAAAACTATCTGTTGTTCCTGACAAAGTCACTCCATTATTTTGAGTCAAGCATGGAGCATCTCGTTCTATTGTATGAAATCGATATCCATTAATGAAATAGGCACTATATCTTTTAGCCACTGTATTAGGCCCTTTAGCTAGCCACCTTAAATGATTGGGCACTTCAACATTTTTAACTTTCTCTCTAAACCATTTTTCGAATTCTCGACTATGAATTCATGCTTTTAACCATGCATTTCCTCTAGTATGATTGTCAATTAAATTCTTATGTTCCCTGTAAGTACAAATATAAAATTTAATCATTAGACCATTGGAGATAAAGTTTAAAATATCTTATCATGAAAAAAATGAAGTTTAAAGTTTAAACTACAAATGACAGTTATATATTTTATCTTACTTGATAAGTGTCTCAACTTGTTCATCTCCAGTATTGAACAAAACATATCGATGTGCTTCAGACCATAACTATAAATCCATGTCAAAAGTCTTGCCTTTCCTTTTCTTCTTACTTCCGATTCAATGACCTATATTAGGAAATATAGGTGAAGAATCATCTCCCTCTATTTGAATGCATTCATCATCCTCAGTTTGATAGCGACTGAATCTTGTCTTCACCCCATCATGTAAGTATCTCGAACAAAAATTCAAGCACTCTTTGGCCAAATGCTTTGTACTTACACAGGTTTCTCTCCCAGGGATACATCCAACGCAAATGAGTCGGACCACCAAGCTTAATTTCATTTACTAAATGGATAGGCAAATGTGTCATTATATCAAAAAAGGTTGGTGGGAAAATTGTTTCAAGCTCACATGCTATATCTATAATTTCAGACTGCATTGTATCAAGATCCCTTTGCCTTATAACCTTACTACATATGGTTCTAAAATAATTACCCAACCAAATCAAGGTGAAAGAGACATTCTTGGGTAACACCTTTATAACCGCAACTTGGAGCAAGTAATGCATTATGAAATGAGCATCATGACTCTTGTATCCTGATATTTTCATCTCATCCACTTGCACTCAATGTGATATATTAGAGGCACACCCTTTTGGTAATTTGGCATTTTTGAGACGGTGCAAAATAATCTTTTCTCTTCCGGTTTCATGGAGTAACAAGCTTTAGCCAGATTAACTTTTCCATTTTTATCATCTTTTAATGGTTGAAGCTCCTTGCGTATCCCTATTTCATCCAAGTCATAGCGAGAATTTACATGATCCTTGGACTTTCCAAGTATATCCAATAAAGTCCCAAGCAAACTATCACATATGTTCTTCTCTATATGCATCATGTCAAGATTGTGCCTCAATTTATTATGTGCCCAATATGGCAATTCAGAAAAGATGGATCTTTTCTTCCACGGACCGTCATTATGTTGAGGCCTTTTCTTTTGTCCTTTTCCAAAGACATTATTGAATTCACGCAGTTCTTCAAGCACATCTACCCCCGATAAGGGAGTAGGCATGGCTTTATGCTCCTCTTTACCGTTAAATGATTTCTTATATTTCCGAAATGGATGATCATGTGGTAAAAATGCCTGATGCCCCATGTAACACATCTTATAACTATGTTTGAGATATTGAGAGCAAGTATCATAAGTACAAGTGGGGCATGCCCATCTCCCCTTGGTGCTCCATCCACAAAGCATTGATAATGCTAGAAAATTACTAATTGTCCACAATAAGACTGCATGCATTACAAAGGATTGGTTAGTTTCAACATCATATGTTTCTACTTCCATTTCCCACAACTCCTTCAACTCAGCAATTAGTGGTTGTAGGTACACATCTATATCCTTTCCTCGAGATGATGGACCTGGAATGATCATTGACAACGTTATATACTCTGGCTTCATGCAAATCTATGGTGATAAATTATAGTTCATTAACATGACTGGCCATGTACTATGAGAAATGCTCATGGTTCGAAATGAGTTAAAATCATCGCTTGAAAGACCCAATCTAACATTACGAGGATCTTTAGAGAAGTCATGGTGCAACAAGTCAAAATCCTTCCAAGCTTCCCCATCAACAGGATGTCTTATATTGCCATCTTTGGTTCGTTCGGTAGCATGTCATCTCATAGCTACAGCTGTTTCAGGACACATGAATATCCTCTGAAGCCTAGGCTTTAAAGGAAAGTACCTTAAAACCTTTGCAGCGACTTTGGTATTCCTATTAGTCAAGCCACCACGCACATTCTTCCATCTAGAAGATCCACACACAGAGCAATTATCTGTCTTCTCATTCTCATTCCAAAATAACATGCAATCGTTAGGGCATGCATGTATTTTCTCATAATGTAGACCCAAATCTTTTATCACATTTTTTGCCTTATGAAAAGACTCGGGTAACTTAGCAAATGGAAATGCCTCTTTTATCAAGTCTAACAAGTCTGAAAATGCCACATTACTCAACCCATGAATGCATTTAAACAAGAACAACTGAATAGTGAAATCCAGTTTAGAGAAATTTTCACACCCTGGATATAACTCTTGTTTTCCTTCTTCCACTAATTTAAAAAATCTCTTTGCATCTTCAGATGGTCCCTCTCTCACTCCTTCATGGTTCAAGTCACCTTCTACATTTCTAAAAGTATCATGAAGCAGACCATCAATATCGTCATGCATATCAGAACCATCATCATCATTGGTTGCATGTGGCAAATCTTTTGAGGAAAACCCTTCTCCGTGAAAACCCCATTTGGTGTATCCATGTGTAAACCCATAAGCAACTAAGTGATCCTCCACCACATTTCTATAATGCCAATAACAATTAAAACACTTTTTACGGGGCATAATATTTCATTTTCTTGGGAAGATCGTTCAAACGCTTTATCAAGAAAATCATTCACACCACGAATATACTCATCAGTGGATCTTCAGAGACCCATCTAACTTTTATCTCCATAACTCATTTATCCTATGAGACACAAAAGTAAATCAACAATTAGTAATCCCTATTCCAATAAGCTACAATTATAGTATTCATGGTTACACTAACATGGACTGACGAACAAACTCATGTTTCAGTAGGTATGTATAAGTTGCCACAATTAACATATGGATGGCATTTAATATGTTACAGTATAAGGGATGCAATGATACTGATGCCCATTAGAGTCACAAGAAAGAATACTCAAACTACTGGATTTGGCTCAGAATTTTGGGTAAAAAGCCTACTTTGAAACACATAATCTCAATGCAGTACTCTTATTTGATATTCCAAAGGAGTAACTATACACAGAGTTCAAAGGAAATAATAAGGAGAGCACAAGACAATCGACATCAAATCCACATGCTGCTGCAGTGCTGGACAGGACATTTGACATGGCAATCCTGGCAATATTTTTTGGATACAATTGATTCCAACTGACAATATTTTTTTGGAAACAATTGAATAGAGCAAGAACACAAATATGGGCAGTAGTTGCTTTCAAATTTAGGAGCAGAATGGAGTATTGGTTTTCATGCAACCATGACCGAGAGATTATATTTAATACTGGAAATGGTAATGATGCAGTATGATAAATCCCACATCAACAACACAAGGACAGTAAATGTGATACAACAAAAAAGAGGCTATGTACCCAATTATCATATTAGGACTATAGTCCATATGGAACAAGGCTATATGTGCAAGCAGCAGATATTAACATCTTTGGGCTATTCAGGCAATCAACAGAACTGGACAGTGCAAATAATATGGGCTTATGTTCTCATACAATGGGACGACGTCATTTTTTACGAGCTTAAAGGACTAGTTCTTTGTGGTTGTATCTTCACTAGGATAGTTTTAATAAAAAATTTAGGATATGCATAAAAAACACCCATTTTAGAACACAAGAGCCAAACAACCAGAAAACCAACAAAAAGGTAAAATCCCCACATATATACGGCAATTTCTCCAACTCTCCCAACTTTAAATTTCCCTATTTAAGTTTTAGAACTTTGTCGACCTCAACAATGGAGTTTTGAAGGGTATTTGTCGCTTTAATTCCTTCTAAACAGCAGTAAACTCAATATTCAGTACAAAATAAACTTTGAATAAAATTTTGGCTCAAAGAATTGAAACCCAGTTTCTCAAACTCCAATTTTACTAAAACCCAAAATTTAAGCAACAACAACAACAAAACCCAAAATTTAAGCAATCTTCTTTAATTTTTTATCATTGATTTTTTTCACGGAAAACTCAAATCTTCACCAAATTTGAGATACAAACTTTAAACCATACAAAAATTAAAAACCAAATATAAATTAGAACAAAAGATAGTAACTTCATAGAAACCCATTTGTGTATTTTGTAATCTTTTGCAAAAACACTTGAATGGAAAATCTAGAGATAGGGAACTGGTAAGCCATGGAGGAGAGCATGCAGACCTATTATGGTAGAGAGCGATATTGGTCGAAGCCTTCGCTAGTCGAAATCCGTCGCTGGTCAAAATCTCACTGGATGTGGAGCCGTTTTTTGCTCTTGAAGAAGCTTCACTGGAGGATTTTTCTCAATGAACTAAATAGAAAAGAAGAAAAACCCTCTTTTACTTTGACTGGTCGAATTCCTTCGCGTGTGGAGCCGATTTTCGCTATTGAAGAAGCTTCAGAGGGTTTTTGATTTGAGCTCTTTTTCTCAATGAACTGAAGAAAAGAAGAAGACCCTCTTTTACTTTAATTTGATACTGTGTAATTTTCTAATTATTTTTTAATTATAAAGGGAGCATTGGCGGGTTTAGTGAAATAATTGGAGGGAAATGAAGTACTCTTTTTTACACAGAACCGTCCCCATAGAGTCATTTTACTGTCTCCATAGAGAGATATGTGGCATCGGTTGTGGTACTAATGTAACCGATGCTAAATTACCGATGCAATAGGTTTATTTTATAGTAGTGAAGGCAAGACTGTGATCGCTAGGCAGCTGCCTCGCTATCTCTGGTGATAATCTGCGACTGAAATAGTCAACAACCGTTATCGTGGCCTGAGATACCTAGATATGCACACAAGGTGCATGGGGTAACGTGAGTACACCAACTCAGTAAGTAACAAGTCCAACCTATGGACTGATAGGTAGTGACGAAATAAACCTCAGCAATTATAACACAATTAAACTAAACAGAAAAGTTCGCATGCTGGAAATTCAATTATACAACTCAGCAGTAAAGTAAATACTTGTGACGACCCTGCCAGTCGTTTCACGAGTTACCACTTTATTTCC